TCCAATATTTTTCCAGCAGAGATATCTCCCCTGTTTGTGAAAACCAGGTGGCTGTCTGTTTTGGAGATGTGCTTCTTAACATGATGGAAATCTCTGTTTTATACACTTCCAGGTTCTTTAAAGAAAAAAAAATTAACACCAAACTTTGGCTTTCCCATGGGTAAGCTATGTTGACTTGTCCAGATACTGTAGCTATAGGTTGACTCAGCTACCTGCCAAGATAGCTTGATTTGGGTGGGTAAGCTATGTTGACTTGTCCAGATAGCTATAGGTTGACTCAGCTACCTGCCAAGATAGCTTGACTTGGAAAATGCTCCCCTTCAAGTAACTTCTATATCTGAGCAGTATAATACATTTTAAATTCCAACTTCCTGCATTTTACACAGTCTATATTTCCCAATCAAGCTCCATATTTAATTTTCCCAAAAACTATTGACCATTGAAAGCCTAAGGTAAAGGTAAAGGTTCCCCTATAGGTTGACTCAGCTACCTGCCAAGATAGCTTGACTTGGAAAATGCTCCCCTTCAAGTAACTTCTATATCTGAGCAGTATAATACATTTTAAATTCCAACTTCCTGCATTTTACACAATCTATATTTCCCAATCAAGCTCCATATTTAATTTTCCCCAAAACTATTGACCATTGAAAGCCTAATTCCTCTAATTTTTAAAACTGGCACAAAACTGTACTCTCAAATACAAATATTAATAAACACAAATATTTATAATTCATTCTTATTACTTAGTATTAATTTGTACAAATTTTATAACAATTTATGTGATTCCCACACAGTATAAGTTGACAAGTCCCTATTATGCAGCTAGTAATGCAGGCATCATAAAGATACTTTTGAAGACTTTGCTACAGAGCATCTACATTTTCTTCCTGAATACACCCAGTTTAATAAGTTGGATTTTTTAAAAATAATTCTGAAGGCATTTGTGCAGCTGTACTAGTCTATTCATAACTGTACTATGGTAAAAATGCTATAAACTGCCTACGTTGAAAGCTGTTTTAATACAAAATGGGAATGAAACTAATGCCAGATCACAAAATAGGATTAATCCCAGGAACTAACTGTTGATATAAAAATATGCCTGTCTCTTTTGACCAATGCAGACGACCATTTGCTGGGAACAGCGCTATAGCATGCTGGGAATATTGGTCACATTACTGAATTTTGAAAGTGATCACATTGCTGCATTTTGTACACTTGAGCTGCTCAGAAAACACCATCACCACTCTTGGGTGGCCATCTCCTTTGAAATAGTGAGGCCTCCCTCCCTTACAATGTAACAATACTCCCCAAGCCCCAAAAGACAGTTAAGAGTTTGGGGAAACGTCCTCTTTCCACACATCCCCAAATGCTGAGGGGAGCATGAGAGTTCGGTTCAGCACTACAAGTACATCAAACTAACTGTGCATATACTGTACTTGCCAGCTTTAACAAGGCCACCTCCTAAGATGCTGGTCTACTATCCCAGAAAGTTATGTCTACTTGTCAGGGCCTCTGAATACATGCAAGTCCCCATGGACTGAATCACAGGAAGCATTTTTAAAAAATGTATTTATGTATAAAGCTTATAGACCCTGCCCAACCTAGTGAGATCACTACCTGGGACAGATTATTACATGATATAAACAAACCAAAGAATAAAACTAAAAATAAGTAAAAGAAAATATCCTCATTCTTATTAATCAACCAACATTAACAGAACAGGTGACTGAAAATGCCTTCAGCCCTTGTCTTATTACTGAATGTACACAATGACCCAGGTTGCTGAATCTTCATGTACCAGAAGAAATATGAAAGGGCTTTTTATTGAGCTTCACTTAAACTACAGAGTCTTCCTGAATTCCAGTAAGAAGGTCTTTATGTACTTACTTATAGTCCTGAGTTTTGACTTGATTCTTGAACTTGTTAGCTGGTTTGCTTTACAATCCTAACTACTGTTTGGGTCCTAATTCCTGGCTCTTGCCAATCTCAAATTGGTGCCAAGCCTTGACACTAATATACTTTTAAAATTCACAAAAAAGATTTCACAGAGCAGCTTGCAAATCAAATTAAAATAAAATGAAAATCAAAGATTTTAAATTAAAATAGAGCACACCAGAGCTTTCTATCTGTTATAAGCATAAAATTATGGCACTGGACAGACTTAATTGACATTTCACAAAAACACCAGAAAAAATTACTTTCAAAATCTTATGAGGGAAATATAAACATAGGCTTCTGATTAATGTTGCTTTTTCTAAGATGGCAGAGAACGTAAGATTATTCCACTTTTCACAGTTTCTCTACACTATCTTGCTGTTTTTTCTCTTCTTTCTTGTAAGTCTTACCTATATCCTGTTCCTGGTTTGAATCACTTCTTCCAATTTTGGTTGCTCCTTCCTACAATATTGAAACAACTACAGTAAATGAAGTTATTTTTTTAAAAAGGTGTGGTACATATACACATGCTTTACACACATGTGAGAGAAATCTGTGTGCAAATTTTATCTTTAGTTTTTGAGAATTCTCGTGGTGCCAGGGCAATTCTGTAGTCATTAGTTATTTACTCAAAGCAAAAGATGTTAATCAAATAATTTATTGTGGAAGGAGTAATTCTAGGTAGTATGTATTTCAACCAATTTTCACCATTATCACTGTTTATATTTGCCAGTGCAAATATGTCTGATGTCTTTAATCTGGAAAAATAATTCTTACAGACTACATAATTAACCCTCAATGATTCAGATAGGACACATTAGCCTCCCAGAGTCATGTTTTGCAGCATAATTCACAGAAAATTAGACATACAGAGTAGTTACTTTACTGTATTATCACCAGAAGAGTGGTCAACATGGTACTTCGGTTTCAACAACTTGTGAAGTTTGTGGTTTTTTGTTTTTAAACAAACAAATAAATAAGCAAACCCCCAACAAATCTAATTCATTTTGCCTTTATGTTTTGGTCCAAGGCAATGTAATCAGTGGTGGGATTCAGCAGGTTCGCACCAGTTCTACAGAACCGGTAGCTAATTTATTATTGATTCTGCAGAACCGTTTGTTGGCGATTTATGTTTTGGTCCAAGGCAATGTAATATATTGGGTCAAAATTGATCCATGCCATTTTTTGTGGAACTATGATAGCAAGCAACATAAGCAACATATTCTGATAGTCAGTTTCTGGTCATGGGCAGGGGCTGGAATTTGATTCTTAGATTGTTCAGGAAATACAGGACATATCTTCACTTTTAAATTTAATCCTGCTGGTAACCTTCACCTTAATACACTGGAATTCCAGTTTGATCTGAAAATATCCTAGAATTCACTCATTGCCAGTTTTCAATTGGTCTGGAAGAGAGAGAAGTTTCCTTTCTACAAGCCTGGACAATGAAAAGAGCTTTCTTTAAGCTGCAACAACAAGTGTCCTGCTACCAAAATTCATGTTTAAAAAGATTTCTCATATCCCAGCATTTGATTTCAGATGCACTTTTGGCTTGCTCTGAGCTCGAATGTAATGCTAAATGTTATATAAGAAAGCAGAAAATATTCCAATATTCTATTGAAACACTTCACTTTCCGAGATGTATTCACTATCTGAATAAACATGAAAGATGCTTCTAACAATACAATAGAAGGCAAGGAATTTCTACCCCACCCCCCAAAAGACAGACACAGACTTTGAATATATGCAATAAACTACAAGGTTCCAAAATTACATCCTGCTCCACACTGCAAGTTTAATATTACCAGACTGGTGCCATATCTGATACCTATATTTTCACATCAGGCATTTCAACTCATAATAATAATAATAATAATTTGGCATGTAAGGAGATTTTTCATTGCTGTATTAATCTGTATACAAATATTCTATATGGGCTTTTGAAAAAGTATAAAGAAACCATGTCTTCAACAAAGGACAGGTTTAAAAATAATGAAAAAAATAAAAATACTCCTGCAGGTACAAGAAATAAGAATAGGCAGTATGAAAAAACACAGTTTAAGTGTAACAATGATGAGTGAGTAAAAGCAAGGCTGACCCTACCATTAAGGAGGATATTAAGCAAGAGACACTAGAGTAGTCAACAGTGATAACAGCCCCTTTCCGGGCCCATTCCTTCTGAGTCCTGGCTGTTCCCATCTCTTGGAGCAAAGAGCTGTATGTATCACACAGCTAGCCCTGTGCCCTTTAAGAATTGTTCCTAGAAACAATTAAGGATTGTTTAATTGTTTAGATTATTTTTAAATTGTCAGATGGAGGATGGTATTTCATCACAAACTGAAGACTGCCAGTCCAATGGGTTTTGGTGTATGGCATGGGTGGTGGAGGACATCCACCTTGCATTTTGTTCCGGTAGGGCTGATCTTGTTCATGTGTATTGCATTGCTATATGGAGTTAGTTTTGCACAAAAAAACAAACCCATAATGAGAAAAGGATTAATTGCATTAAAAGAGGAAAGGGTCTGGTCTGGAATGGTTTTTCTGCATTCATTGGCAGTATCCCAACTGAATGTTACTACTTTTAGAAGGTTGCCATTCCCTACAACACAGGAAATGGTTCTCTGACAATCAGTAAGCCAGCCACAAACCAGGGGGGATTTAAAAAAAAAAAACTGGAAACACCTGGGTATGCAAAAAAATATTGGGCGGTCTTCACCTGCCAAAGGAGGCAATTATCCTTAACTGAGAGACAGAGAACAATGCACATGTTCATACTGCATGTAATCTGGCAGAGAACTCAGAAGGTAGTGCTGGGGAACTCTTGTTTGACACCCCTGGCCGTTGACCTGTGGGATCCCTCAGAGTTGTTTTGTCCGCAATGCTATTTAACATCTGGAAGAGGTTGTCCAGAGTTTTGGGGTTCTCCGTCACCTTTATGGAAATTACACACAACACTTTCATTTCCATCAAAACCCAAAGGAGCTATTTCAGCTGTAGATCAGTGCCTGATGACAGTAATGGACTGGATGAGGGCGAATAAACTGAAACTTAGTCCAGACAAGACAGAGGTGTCCCTGGTCAGTCAAAAGGCAGATCAAGGAATAGGGATCCAGCCTATGCTGGATGGGGTTACACTCCCTCTGAAAACACAGATGCATATCTTGGGGTTTTTCCTGGATTCGTCTCAGAGCCTGGACATCCACGTTTCAGAGGTGGCCAGGAGTGCACGAGCAGCTCCTATTCTCGGAAAGGTCTGACCTGGCCACAGTGACACACACATTAGTTAAATTCTGGCTCAATTACTGTAACATGTTCTACATGGGGCTGCCTTTGGAAAGTGTTTGGAAACTTCAGTGGGTCCAAAATGCTGCAGTCAGATTGTTAACTGGGGCTAGTTACAAAGATGACATAACAACCCCTGTTACAGCAGCTGTCCGGGCTGCCAATCTGCACAATTCAAAGTGATGGTTTTGACAAATTAGTTCAAAGACCTTTTCTCTTCAGGAAGACTTTCCTTATTGACTGACTGTCTAGGAGACAATAAATGGGATGGCTTATATTTGCAGCTTCCAAATCTGGTTTTTTTTTTTGTAATGCTTTTAACTAATATTTTAACATAATGTTATTAATTATTCTTTATTATTTGAACAATTTGCTATTTTCAGCTTTTAATATTGTGTTTTTAATGAAGTAAGCCACCTTGGGTGCTTTTTTAGGAGAAAAGTGGAGTTAAAATATTTTAAATACATAAATAAATATACAAACAAAATAAATTGTGGACGAGTCGCCCAGATAGGCAGGGTATAAATCAAATAAATAATAATACAGTATAAATAATAATAGGGCCGGCACAAGGTCTAAGTGTAACCAGTGGCATGAGGCCTCAATTATGATTGCAAATTAATGAAGAAAATGAAATTGGAGTCAAGGGACATACACTTAATGCCAATAAAGATGTAAACTTTTCTGAGAAAAAAATTTAATCATATCTTCTCCTAAAGAAATTTTGTGGATCACAAGAGAATTTCTATAAATCCTGCTTCCACAGCACTACTACCATTCATACCCTGTTTCCCAGAATATAAGACAGGGTTTTATATTAATTTTTGCTTCAAAAAACGCATTCGGGCTTATTTTCAGGGGATGTTTAATTTTTTTCATGTACAACAATCTACATTTATTCAAATAAAGTCATGTCATCTTCTTTTGGTTGCTGCACAATAGTGGAGGGTGGGGCTTCACTTAACTGGGGCTTATTTTTGGAGGTAGGGCTTATATTATGAGCATTCTGAAAAATCCTACTAGGACTTATTTTCAGGTTAGGGCTTATTTTCAGGGGAAAAGGGTAATCCTCACATGGCAGACCACTAGTACAATGAAGAATCAAATGCACCTGCCATACAATATGCCTTGAAGCCCACTTTTCTTCTTCCAGCATTAATTCAAGACACCAAGGCAGCACTGTGACTATGTAAAAGCAAAACATAATTTTACCTTCTTACTCTTGAGGTGAAGGTTATAGACATGAACCTAAAGAAAGCATAGCATAAAGAAAAGAAAAGGCAGCATCTAGAAGCAAAGACAGAATTACAAAGTTGTTAGTGCAGTTTAAATGAAATAGACAAGAGAGCTTAATGAGAAACCTGCTGTTGAGCATGTTCACAAGGCTTCCTCTTGTATACATAAAGGTTTCCTCGGCATTTTTCAGGTGTTATGAAAATTAGAAATTGTCAATGTTTCGCTAATACATTGTTTATAACTTGTCAGAACTTATATACCACACAATATCTTCTACTTTTTTTCTACCAAAAAACAGAATAAGCATTTTGGAAAAAGGTCAATTTTCTGTATCCATGGGACACTTAGGGAAATGGATTTTATCTGGGCAAATACATTACCTTGCATTGGCCTCAAATAATAGAAACTATATTAAGTCTGTATATGCCACAATGTATGATGAAAAAGTTCTAATAAAAGAAAAGCTAGTACAGTATCAACATTCTTGAATTTTCACTACTGTTTAAGAAATACCACAAGAGAATAAACTATCTACAGGCATCATCTGAAATAACAGGTACTGTACTTATTGCTGGCTGAAATGAGATGATAATCATAGGTTAGTTTAAACAGTGGTAGAATAGAAAAAGGAAAGAAAAGGGAACAAGAGGAATTAAACACGTATTGCACACACTTCCTGAACTGGACTCCTTAATGAAAATTACAGAAAGAGCTCCTGGCTCTACTGAAAATGACACACAAAACCTGCAAGCTTTTGTTATAGTGTTGATATTATTATGCGAGGAAGTTGAAATACAAGTTTAGATCCATAGATCAAGGAGAAAGAGACTAAACCTATATTCTTGAATCTCTTGAAATAAAGATAATCATTATTAAATGGTACAGGAAGTTCTATTAGTATTGTTGCATTTTTCTGATTAATTGTGATTTCCCACTCTGGCTTATACAGTATTTTGGTTATCTACAGGTGAGAGTATCCTCCAGCGTTTTTCTCCAGGTACCTATGTATAGATCAGTAATCCCCAACCTTGGGTCTCCATATGTTCTTGGACTACATCTCCCAGAAATCTTAACCAGTACAGCCAGTGATGAAGACTTCTAGGAGTTTTAGTCCAAGAATATCTAGGGAATGGTCTAAATCTTTAATAAAGTTGCATGTTTATTTACCAGAATATGATGTTGCATTCAGTAGGACAACTGGTAGGATTAATGCAAAGGGAGACATTCTTACTTCCAACATATTTTGTGAAGACATATAAATTAAATTAAATTAAATTAAATTAACCAGTATAAATTCCATCAAAACTGTGGCAGCAACAGTGACACCATTTTTTTTTTGGTATATATTATTTTTCTGTTAAAATAAACTAACACATTTCAAAAGAAAATTACTACCTTTTAAATATCTTTAAGTAAAGGGACATAACTTCCTGTCCATGCATCTGACCATGAACAGCTACTGATTTATGAAAGAGAACACTATCACATACTTGTAGATAATACATAGAGTACATAATACTATTATCAAAGTGTGCAGCAGGAAGTTTAAAAACAAAACTTCAAACAAAATTCTGCTTCTTCGCTTTTTCATTCAGCATAATTGCTTAAGTATTTACATTTCAGAGTACTTTTTAAAATAGTATAAACTCTCCAGCAATAGTATTTCACACTGTGTATAAGGTAGAAATATGATAACAGTATAAAACTAACCTCACTGTGTACTAAAGTGATGTATAATAATGTATTAAAGTGTCCAGACATTGAAAAATTAGCATATATATGGCTGGAACATAGTAACACAGGAAATCCTGTACTAAGAACTAGAACTAGAGTTTATTGTTATGTGCCATCAACTTGGAACTGGCTCATTATGACCCCAATAAGGTAAGTGAGATATTTAGGGACTGGCCTTACCAGTTGCATGTCTGCAGTTAGTTTCCATTGAACCCAGGTCTCCTGGGTCCTAGTCTGTATACCACACTGGGTCTCTGAACTAGAGTGGGTCCACTGAATTAATGGACCTTACAGAGGAGCTGACTCACCAAATCCCCACTGATTTAACAGGTTAGCTGTAGCTGCGACTTACTAAGCATTTCCGCTGTTAAGACTATAATTTAAATTTAGTAAAATTTAGGAGTAAAATATTTTATTTTATGCTGATGAATTATACTAGATTTCAGATTCACTCAATCCTGAGTTAATTTTTTTCCAAAGAAAATTGCAATGAATTTCTCTAATTTCACAATTTAAAAATTTCCCATCATTTCAAGACACTTGTGCACATGATAAGCAAGCACAGCAGATCAAACCATTTCTCGTTATTCAACATAATTATCGTTATTAACATCTGAAAGGAAAAAACATATACATAGATCCTATCTCACCCTGAGATGATAAAGTACAACTCCAGTACTAAGGATATCATCATCCATGGCCATTAAATGAGGTAAACTGGAGTCTATCACCAATCCAGCTTTTTTCTTGTTAATATCCACACTGTATTCTTCCATGATGGCTTTTCTATTAATCCACTTGTCCGTCCAGTCTTTGGTCAGCTGCTCAATCTTTGGAAATGGTAAATGAAGGGGAAAAACAGTGCCTATTAAAAAATGTAAGGAAATGCCACCAATCCTCCTTCTTCTCTTTTACCACAAGGAAATGCAAAACCATAAAATGTGCACAGAAACAGTGTCTGTCAGTTAGGGTCATACCTGGAAGTAAACTATTGATTCCATAGTGCTAAAACTAGCAGAAAGTGCTGGACTGGGAAATATGTCCAGAGCAAAGCATTACTCATATCAGGGGCTAAGGGGGAGCTAACAACATTATGGGAGCTGTTGGCCCCTTGTGTCACCTGATCCCTACTGGGCTGCCTACCGAGCTGAGCAGCTGCATTATTATTCTCAGCCATTTGTAGTGGTGCAATGCAGCTGGGTACAGGAGAGTCATATAGTGGTGCCCCGCTTGACGATGATAATCCATTCCAGGAAAATCGCTGTTAAGCGAAATCATTGTCAAGCGAAAAAAAATAACCCATTGGAATGCATTGAAAACCGGTCAATGCGTTCCAATGGGGAAATACCTCATCGTCCAGTGAAGACTGCCCATAGAGAACCGCCGATCAGCTGTTAAAAATTACTGTCTTACGAAGCAGGGGTCCAGAAAGTAGCCATTTTGCAAAGGGAGGGAAGCCATTTTGCGGAGGGAAGCCATTTTGCAGAACTGGAAAAATCGTCGTATAGTGAACAAACGGTTCGCGAAGCAGGCTCTTAATCAACATAATGTGGATTTCCCCCATTGGAATCATCATCATTGTTAAGCGATTTTGACATCATGCAGGGTAAGCGTCTAGCGGGGCACCACTGTACTTCATTTGCCACAGTAGTGGGAGTAGTGAAATACCTGCTCCTTGTTTCTATAAGCTTCAGTTTGAGATCTGGGTGCCTTACAATGGATTGTACATGCAGCTGTGTTCAGGGGGGACACTATATGTGGAGAACTTTAGAACAGGCTTTTTGGAAGAATGTATGTGGCATGCTGTGACAGATAGCAAAGGTTTATAAACCCCCAGTCTACAGGTGGTGGGATTAATTATGAGCATACATACCTTAACTTCATTCTGAAGAACTAGTTCTGTTAGATTTCCTTCTCTGTCATCACTCCATGAAGGACTAGAATTCCTCTGAGGCGGAAAGAAAATGACAGATCTCTGTAATGTTCCACATTCAGAATGAAGACAAGTGATCACATTTTAGGAAGGTAAGGTTAAGGAAACATGAAAGGAAACATCAGAATGATACTATGTATGTGACAGTCCATTATCTACCAATGAATTAATGGACAAGGGAGGGCGAAAAAATATAACTGGTTTTTCTTTCCTGAAATGTATGAACACAAGATGGACTAGATCTTCTCTCCCAGGACTTGACAAGTAGACCACATATTTTTCATGCAGTTCTCTGAAAATCTTTGTATAATATGACTCAGCAGCACTTTGTCACACGGACTACGAAATAATTCCAGATCCCTGTTTCTATAGGCCAATCATCTGAACCAAGGTGTCATTCACTGAAATATTGTTAATGAAGTATAGCATAATTATGCACTGTCAACTCAACTCTAGCTTAAGGTGACCCTCTGTGAGCTCTGCTGGCCCTAGCTAGTTCCACAAGGGGCTCCTTCCCACATCCACAGATCCAGCGATGAAACCACAGGTGATTCAATACAAATAGATTTTATTACAATTGGGACAGGGAATAAACTAATGGCAAACTGATTCCTTCCGGATAGTTCCTTTCATTTCCCTCAACTCAGAGGCCAAGTCCTGTAACACTCCAGTTAATTTCACTGAGAGGGTTGTCAGTTTGCTCCTTCCTACTGCGGCACCCCATTCTGGCCCAAACTGTGAGGCCCGCAACAAGGTGGATCAATATGCCTGCACAGAGGGCAATGATGGCAGTCTCTTTCCCTTGTCTTCTTCTGCCTCTCAGAGAACTGGCACTGGTGCTCCCGCTGGCATTATCTCTGCCAGTGTTGAAGCTGAGTCATGAGACACTGTCTCTCCCCCTTATACTTTCATTCTCTCTAATAATGAGCTGAGGAGGAGGTCAGGGGTTGAGGTAATTCTCTGCTTCTCCTTTGGGCACCTGCAGCTGGACCAGTACCCCAGTCCAAAGAACCTCTTTTGTAAGGGTAGCCCCATTCCCCTGCTTGCTCTGGTTCTTCGGGTTATGAGTGTCTTCCTCAGCCTTTAAGCCATCCCATTCCCCTGGTTGCTCGGGTTCTTCGGGGTATGAGTGTCTTCCTCAGCCTTTAAGCCATAAAGGTCCTCCAAGGCATCCCCCATGTCCCTTCTTCCTCAACCTTCTCTACCAGAATGTCAAGGAGCAGGTCATCAGTTTGGACCCCTTGCTTTTACTTTCTCCCTCTCGTCTCCTGGTGGCATCAGAGTCTCTGCCTCCAATGATTTCTTTATACAGTGGTGCCTCGCTTGACGACGTTAATGCATTCCAGCGAAATCGCTGTAGAGCGAAAACGTCATCAAGTAAAATAAAAAAGCCAATTGAAATGTATTTAAAACCAGTCAATGCGTTCGAATGGGCTGAATACCTGCTCGTCCAGCGAAGATCCATACGGCGGCCATTTTCGGGTGCCTGTTAAGTGAAAAATGCCTCCTAAAAACAGCGGGGAGCCATTTTGAGCAGCCGGTGGCCATTTTGAAAACCCGACAATCAGTTGTTTTGATCGTCGTAATGTGAAGAATCAGTTCCCGAAGCAGGGAACCAATCGTTGCAATGCGAAAAAAAACCATTAAAACATCGTTTTGAGGCGTATTCGTTGTTATAGGGGGTAATAGTTAAGCGGGGCACGACTGTATTCCCCAACCCCCCGGGGCCCTCTTCCCCTACTCTCCTTGATAGCTCTTCCTTGCCTGGGCTTTCTGCTCAGAACTCCTTCTGGGGTCCCTGCTTCTGTGCCTGGGTTCCTTCTCTGCATACTGCCCTGGTGACAGTCCCACCACGTCGCCATCCCCCTGATGTACTGAGGGCTTATGCAGGCAACAGGGGTGCCTTTGCTACTGTCATCATCCTTACTCTCTCCCATGGTTTTCTACACAAAGAGTACTTTAAAATGGTTTACCATTCCTTCCTTCTTGTGCTGTTCTGGAGCTATTCATTTTGCCCAAGGGCACACAAGTGGCACAGCATGTAGCCCTATACTTTGATGTCTCCTTTCTGCCACCTAGACACTGATCCTGGCATGTGATTTTGTCTGTCCCGTCTCATGGGAGGCACAGTGAGGATTTGAACTCCTAGCCCCCAGCTTTATAACCACTTCCTCCAACCCAATGAGCCAAACCAGCAAACACACATAAAATCTAAAAATAGAACTAGTCCTACAACTATCAATTGCACAAATCGCCTGAGACTCTGGACACTTGATGCCAGTTATAGTAGTCAGAAACAGGCTGAAAAGACAAATAATCGTATGGGGTAAAAAGCAACTTCCTCCATTCTGAGAAGATGAGGTATCATAAAAGAAGATATATATACATATCTAATGAATGGTAGATAATTTAAATAAATGCTTACACACACCAGTTCAAAGCTCATCAGCATAGCCTTCAATCTATCTATTTCTTCTCGTAATTCTCTAATCAGCTTTACATTTGCATCCTAAAGCAGAGGAAAATATTCTGTTAAAAATCAGGCATGTAACAATATGAAAGACAGACTTCAAGAAGAAATGTACTGGATGCTTCCTGACATTACTACTCCATACATTATGTTCTAATAACAATTTGAGAGTGGGCATGAGAATAATTTTTTTCATGCTTGATTTTAATATGTTTGTACACTGCCTGCTGTAAAAGATATGTCTCTTGCTGTTAAAATTCAAACCATGAAGTTACTAGGTGTGAATACATATAGACATTTAACAATTTCAATTTACTCATTGTCAATATTAATTCAATTCTTAAGTAGTAATTTTATCTGCTTAATGTTCAACTGCAATTCTGCTTTTCTACTTTCTTTTTTTGCCTTCATCAGTAATCAATACAAGCCATTGCTGTTTTTTGCCATATGGCAGTGTTTCCCAACCTTAGGTAACCCAGGAGTTCTTGGGACTGCAATTCCCAGAAGCCTTCATCACTAGCTGTGCTGGCTGGGGTTTATGGAAGTTGCAGTCCAAGAACAGAAAGGTTACTTACCTGTAACCATGGTTCTTCTAGTGGACCTCTGTGAATTCACACAAAATGGGTTTCCTCTGCACCTGCGTAGGATATTAGGAAGATTCTAGAGCTTAAAAAGGAGTAACAATTAAGATTCCACCCCCGGGCGCAAGCTCTGCCTCCTCAACCTTACTTTCAGTTCCTCCATAGTCTGCTGTTGCCAACTAGAACAAGTCTAAAAACAGACAACGTGATGGACAGAGGGGAGGAAGGGAGGGATGTGTGAATTCACAGAGGTCCACTAGAAGAAGAACCATGGTTACAGGTAGGTAACCTTTCTTTCTTCATAGTGGCCTCTGTGAATACACACAAAATGGGTAACTGACAAGCTCACTTACCAGATGGAGGGTCGTCACGGAAGCAGAGATATCAGTATCGCCCGTCCGAATGCAGCATAGTTTTTCGTCCTGACGTCGATGCAGTAGCTGCTCTACAGATGTTCTGTATCTCATTTCCACGATGCAGAGCAGTCGATGTCGAGACTGCCCGGGTAGAGTGTGCCTTCAGATGGTCCAGTATCGATTTGCCAGAGAGTTCATAGGCTATCTATATGGTTTGAACTATCCGTCAGGATATAGTCTGTGTCGATGCTGGAGCACCTCTGTTAGGTCCATGATAACATATGAACAGTCTGGGCAATTGTCTGAATTGTTTTGTTCTATCTAGATAGAAAGCCAAAGCTCATTTGAAATCTAGCGTGTGGAGCTTGCGCTCGACTGGGGTGGATGGAGAAGGGAACAGTGTCAGCAGCACTATAGGTTGATTCATATGAAATTCAGATACTATTTTAGGCAGAAAGGAGACATCAAAGTATAGGGTTACCTTGTCAGGATGAAGTTGTAGATATGGGAGATCAGGTCTCCAAGCCACCAATTCACTGGCTCTCTTTGCTGATGTAATCGTGACCAAAAAGATCGTCTTCAGGGAGAGCAACTTTTCGTTGCAGGTGGACATTGGTTCGAATGAAGGCTTGTGGAGCGCTTCCAGAACTAGTTGCAGGGACCATTGGGAAACGATTTGTTGCATCAGAGGCCTGATGTTATGAAGGCCCTTAATGAACCTTTTGGGAGTAGAGTGAGAAAAAAGTCCAGCAGATCGAGAATGGGGTGTTGATGAGCCACTATGGCCGAAATATAAACCTTGATGGTGGAATGTGACAATCCAAGGTCAAACAGGTGGAGGATGAAGGTAAGTATCGTTTTGAGGGAGACTGGAATTGGAGTCAATCCCTTGGATACCATGAAATTTAGGAAAGACTTCCATTTGTTCTCATACAGTTTCGTAGTGGACGGGTTTTGAGCCCTTTCTAAAATTCTGAGGAACTCGGGGTTATCCTCCAAGCAGTCAGGTTCAGCAAGCGTACATCCGGGTGGAGAACGGAGCTGCTGTTCTGGGAGAGAAGATTCAGTATTGACGGTAGGTGAAACATTTCTGTTGTTATCAACCTGAGGTGAGTAAACCATGGTTGGCAGGGCCACCACGGTGCGATCAGTATAGCGTCCACTCGATATTGAATGATCCTGATGATTGTCCTCTGGATCATTGGTATCGGTGGGAAGATGTAGAGGAGGTCTACCATCCAATCTATCATAAAGGCATCTTCCATTGACTTGGCATCAATGCCTGCTCTCGAGCAGTATCTGGGGCACTTGGTGTTGTATCGAGTTGCAAAGAGGTCTAACGTGGGGTAGTCCCACTTGCGGCAGATCTCCTGAACTCGTCTAGTGTCCATTCATGCATATGGGTGGGCAATCTGCTCAAATGATTTGCCAAGTAATTGTCCTCTGTTGAAATGTTGATAGCCTGTGGGAAGGTGTTGTAGAGATGGCACCATTCCCACAAGTTCCATTGTGAGGTGTAGTAGGGGTAGAGAGTGTGTGCCTCCTTGTTTGTTCACGTAATGCATTGCTGTGGAGTTGTCTGTCACCAGTTGAACTGCTTTGCCCTTGATGCGTGGCAGGAAGGCTCGAAATGCCTTTATTATGGCCAGCATCTCCAGTTGATTTATATGAAGTTCCCTTTCTCCTTTTATCCATAGGCCATGTATTTGGAGTTCTTGACAATGCGCTCCCCATCTGGAAGGACTTGCATCCATGACTACCTGTATCGATAGGTGTATTGGTTTGAAAGTTGAATCGCTTTGCCCTTGATGCGTGGCAGGAAGGCTCGAAATGCCTTTATTATGGCCAGCATCTCCAGTTGATTTATATGAAGTTCCCTTTCTCCTTTTATCCATAGGCCATGTATTTGGAGTTCTTGACAATGCGCTCCCCATCTGGAAGGACTTGCATCCATGACTACCTGTATCGATAGGTGTATTGGTTTGAAAGGTCTGCCTACTGTCAGGTTCTGAATGGATGTCCACCAGGTAGGTTGGCATGCCAATTCTGGGGTTACCAGAAGGTGTTTCAATTGATGGTCCATCAGCGCATCGAACAGAGATAGAAACCATGCCTGGAGTGGTCTCATTTTGAGCCTTGTGTAGATTACGACTGCAGTTGTAGCTGCCATAATGCCTAGCAGATGTTGCACTTTGTGAGCTGACACAGTTCTGTATGGTTGAAACAGGTGTACCATATTTCGTATCTTCATGATCCTTTGTAGAGGCAGAAATGCTCTTGCAACTACGGAGTTCAGTTCCGCTCCGATGTAGTTGATCATCTGTGATGGCTCTAGTTGGGACTTGTCAAAGTTCATTCTCAAGCCCAGTCTTTGTAAAGTGTCCATGGTGATTTTTCTGTGGCTTCGATGGTGTCGTGATGAGATCAAGCCACTATAAGCCAGTCGTCAATGTAGGGGAAGACTGTAACCCCTCTGAGCCGGAGTTATGCCACAACAGGAGTCATGCATTTCATGAACGTTCTGGGGGCTGTTAATAGACCAAACGGTAGGGCAGAGTTATGGCACAACAGGAACGTTCTGGGGGGCTGTTAATAGACCAAACGGTAGGGCACCAAATTGGTAGGTTGAGTCCTCGAAACGAAACCTGAGACATTTTTGATGAGTGTGGTGTATCGATATATGGAAGTAGGCGTCCTTCAGATCGATGGCCACAAACCAGTTTCCCTGGGATAGAAGAGGGATAATGGTATCAAGGGCTAGCATACGGAATTTTTTGGGATGTATAAACATGCTAAGGCATCTCAGGATGGGTCAAAGACCTCAATCCTTTTTAGGGACCATGAAGTAATGGGAGTAAAACCCCTCATTAATTTCAGAAGATGGGAATCTGCTAATAGCACCCTTTCGGAAGAGTGATGATATTTCCTCTTGCAAAGTTACTGAGAACAAGGTGTTTTTGATGGAGTTCGGTGGTGGGGTTTTAAAGAATTTGATAAGGTAGCCCTTCTCGATGATAGACAAGACCCACTTGTTAGTGGTTATCCACTGCCATTCCGGCAGGAATGCAGAGAGTCTTGTGGGGCTAGTATAGTGGTATTGATTAAGAGTAATGCTTACCATTTCACTGTGGCTTACGAAAGGGCTGTCGTGCACTCTGATACTGATGCTGCCTGAACTGTGGGGCAGTGATCTGTGCTGATTGGTAAGGTCTGTCTTGAGGTTGTTGCCTATTTGAGTGAAAAGGCTGGTATTGATATTGTTGTTGGTAGAACGGTTTCTTGAAGGAAATTTTTTGGTACCGATAAGGTTGCTGCAGCACATAAGACTTCACAGTTTTTCTCATCTTATAGATGTTTTCCATCATGTCATCCATTTTGGCATTGAACAGGCCCACAGCATCAAACGGGAGGTCTTCTATTCTGGCCTTGGTATCGTCAACGATGTTAGCTGACCTAAGCCAGGCGTGTCTCCTGACTGCCATCATGGTTTTCAATGCCATGTCTGTGGTGTGCCTCGTGGCTACTTTTTGCTGTTTAGCTAGAGTGTAGCCTCTGTATATATATTCAGCAGTTCTGTTTTTGTTGAATTGGATGCTGCTCGCAGTGTATGGAATATTCTGTCTCATAAATGTCTTTGATAGGCGCCCATAGCTGCCTGGTAGTTGGAAATTCTAATCAACAACGGTGCTAGGGAGTAGTTTCCTCCCCAAAGAGTCAATTTTGTGCCCTCTCGATTTGTCGGGGCCATTGACGATCTGGTGCGTGACTTATATTTATTTATTTATTTTATTTATTTATTCTCATATGCCACCCACACTACCCAAAGGTCTCTGGGTGGCTTACAACAGGATGCATGGATTAAACAACGATTGAATTAGGGATCGGGTGTTTGAGTAAGAAGTCGGCATCCGTACCATGCGTCTTGTAGTGATGCTCCACCCTGCAGGGAGTCTGTAGCGTTGAGGGCTGCTTGTCCCAGGATTCTTTGACAAGTAGTGCTGGTATGAGGTTCAAGCTAGGTTGGGGGTGTCTTATTTTGTTCCAGGTTGTGGAACACTAGGTCCTTTTCTTGTTGAGACAGCAATTGTATATCGAGCTGCAGGGTCTTGGCCATGTGTAGTACTAGTTGAGCATACGAGGTATAGTCCTCCGGAGGTGACGGGGATGATTATCTAGTATATCTGAATGAGGGGCGGGATGCTGGATTGTGGAGACATCCGATGAGGATGAGCCGTTATTGTGGGAGGACATTGAGGGAGAATTGTTCGGTCCCTCTACATGGGCCCTCGATATGAGGTCGTCATCTGGCTGCGTAGACATTGAAAGAGGTTCAACGTCGTGTCTACGAAGTCCAGAATAGACAGTAATAGTGTCAACCGTGGGTTGTCCTCTGGCACACTTGGATCGTTTTGCAGGTGCAGAGACCTCTGGAGCCTATAATCTCTTTCATGATGGTCTATCCTGGGAGAAAGGTAGGTCCTCCCGACATTGAGGATGAGTTGTTGGCGGGGATCTTGTGGGACAGTACCACATTGGCAGGGGGTCCCCTGTAGTCATCATGGTATCCATAGTCATGGTACCGATATGGATGGTACTGATCAAAATAGTGGTGTCCATAATAAGGAGGATGTTCAGCATGGCAGCAGTGTTCGCCATGTCAATGAGGTTGGTATGGAGAGGTAGGTTTACGCTTCTCCATCCTCTTTCTCAGGGAGTGTTCGGGAATCTCCGATCCAGACTCAACGTCAGGATTTGCCCGCCCTGATGTTCAAGGGCTATAGTGGGCCATGGCCGGGCTGGAAGGTTCAACAGCCTCAGATTGGCCTGAGCTCTGCGACATGCTGAGAATAGCATGTGGTGCCTGAGCCGAGAAGATTGTGCATTCTTCTCTGTCTGAGAGTGTAGGAGCCTCTCTTGAAGATTCCTCCATAGGCAGCGGTGCTGGAGGAGGAACTACGACAGTCAACTTACTAGCTTTCTTTTGTTTCTTATCCTTATCCCTGTCTTTTTTCTTTTTTGCAGGGTTATCATATTTGTTTGTTTGTTTGTTGGATTTTTAGTCCCGACCCATAGACCATGTCTACTTGTGACTGAGTCTTGGCAGAAATGGTGACCGATTTCGAAGATTTTTGTGATTCTTTGGACTTTGTCGGTATCAACGTTGTGCTGGTCAGGGATTGTGTAGCTGGGCTGGATGTGGTTTTGGTAGCCTCTGGCCATGGAGGATTAGAGGAAGGAGGGGTCTCCACTTCCATAGTTGGATTCAGAGTCTTTTCATACAAGAAAGATCTCAGGCACTGAAGCCTCAGTTTAATTGCTGGTTTAGAGAAGCTTCTGCATGCAGTACACAACTGAGTCTGGTGAGAGTCTCCCAGACAAAATAGGCATTTATCGTGTCCGTCTGTTAGTGAGATCTTATGGAGACAAACGGAGCACCTCTTAAAGCCCTGAGGGGCCATAAAATGAAAGATAAAGTTTAGGAAAAAATCCTGGAGAGGGATGGGGGGGAAAGGCAGGAAAGTGAAAAGAATGATATTGTATAAGGAAAAAAGGGTTCCAGTAGCTAAGAGAAATAACTAATATTGATTTTAAAGGAAAAAACTATAACGAATCAGGTGAAAAGGCTATATTTAAGTTCCTAATAGGAGCTCTACTGTTCCTCACGTCCTAACCCAATGGCGGGGAAAAAGGAACTAAAAGAAAGGTTGAGGAGATGGAGCTTGTGCCCTAGGGGGGAATCTTAATTGGTACTCTTTTTTAAGCTCTAGAATCTTCTGAACGTCCTGTGCAGGCACAGAAGAAACCCATTTTGTGTGCATTCGCAGAGGCCACTATGAAGAAAAATGGGTTATCCAAGATTGGGAACCACTGCTATATGGCATCATCCATATATCTTATATTATTTATGTTTATTCTACCAACTTCCACTCTCCCTTCATCCAAATCTAATCGAGTTTTTCATATACGTTATGCACATAAACAGATCAAACAGGGAGATAAAATATACTTTTGTCTGATACCTTTGCCGACTGGAAACCATTCTGTTTCTCTGTGTTAACAGTCGCCTTTTGTCCATGGTATAGGTTAGAGTTCAGGACAATTAAATGTTGTGGCAGATCAATATCTTTTAAAATGATTCATAGCATTTTATGATCCACATAGTCAAAGGCCTGATTCTAATCTATAAAGTGTATACGGATTACACATGTCAGGTTGGACATATCTTTGCTGTCCTTCCGCAGGCAGACAATGCCCTTTTTCTCTTCAGCAAGCTTTCTCTTAGTGACTGGTTGCCTGGGTGGGGTTTTTAAATGGATTGTTGTGCCTTATTGCTTTGAATGTGTTTTTAATGTTGCTTTTGTTTACTGTTGTTAGTGTGGCATTTGTCTGATCTTTTCAAGTGTATACCTAATGTTTTAACTTTAAATTTTGTTTTTGAATGATGTAAGCTGTCTTCGGTTATTTTTAAGAAGAAAAGTGGAAGAAAGAAAGAAAAAAAGAAAGAAACATCTAGTAGAAATCTAGAAGTAGTAAATCAATACATGATAAAATGTTGATTAAAACACATCTAAAATTGCTAAAGTAGCAACAACGCTTTTCATATGAAAAAACGCTTGGCCCTTTAAAAGTTTTTCAGCGAACTCTTGTTTATATCTACCCAGAAGTTATGTCCTGCTGAGTTCAGTGTGCCTAGTCTGTGGCAATTGAGTTTAGGATTGCTGCTTAGTATATTCAATATATTTTGAAGGATTTTTTCAAGTGGCAGACTGCTTTAACTGATATATGGAGAAAATGCTTATTAAGAAAGCATAAAACAACAGCAAGGTATCTCACCTCATTTATTCTGGGTTTGTTAATAATGTTTTTGGCATTTGAGGCATATCGCAAGGTGCTCATGGTCTCATTGTAACAGGAGCTTGCAGGAGATATAGCTACCAGGGGAAAAAAGAGAGATCTTTAAAGAGATTCAAAATGTTGAATAGGTGTCACATTGAAAGAAAGCACTGCAGTTTCAATCATATAAAAATATATACATAAAAATGTATCTGTTGGATACATGTGATCAAGGGCAAAAATTCGGTAATTCAAACAAAAAGTTAAGACAATCAAAATTCCAGGCATGACATCGAGACAAAAAGCAACACAAACAATAAACCAGACTGGGGTCAAACTAGAAACTAAGGGAATGTCTGTTTCCTCCAACATATTATTCCTTGTTCAACAGGTTTTCCTCAGAAATATATGTCCCATCAATGAGACATGCAAATTAAGCCCATGTTTACCCTTCAGTAATCACTAAAAGCAACCAAATGAAAGGCATCTAACTGAGGGAAATAGAAGTGCTTAACAATGACAGGCAGACACTCTTCTAAAGCATCTAAGCATATTTTGTATAACAATAATTGTGTACCATCCAGTCAATTCTAACTTAGGGTGACAGTTTTCCAGGCAGAGAGTACAGTACTCTGGTTTACCATTCTCTTCTTCTGGGGGCACCCTGAGACTATGCAGCTTGCCTTCCCACGCCCTGGTTCTGCAGCCAGATACATAAAACACTGAGCTATCCAGTCAGCTTTTTGTTTTATTTATCCTCAGCTAATCATAAAATGCTGGGGGTGGGTGGAGTTTTGATTTTGTGCTGAAACTCTTGCTATGTTAGTGCCATCATAATTCTATAGGGAAAGTATTGCACAGTTGGTTTGCCTTAACTGAGAAGGCTCTCTCCTTCGTTGATACATAGTGCATTTGAGGTACCTGAAGAACTGAGCAGGTTGAGAGATGCTCCTACAGGTTTTTGAGTATATTGTGTGAGAGGATCATTGCTTAATTCAAGTTCTTCATTATTGTACATGGCACATATCTGAAAAATTATGGCTTCACACGCATTGAAGAGAAAACAAAGTTTGTTATAGAAGAGGGGGGTGATTTCATGGGCATTTGTCCCACTGTTTGATCCACTCTGGGAATGGGTTGTTTTGCTCCTTTTGCCAACAACCAGTTGTCAACAGGAACCTGCTTGTCTCCAGAGCATTCCTACCAGTAGGTTACTGGCTCCCTGTCAGAGGCTACTGTTTTTTAGGTGAGGGCAGGGTTTCAGTTCATGTCCAAGATATGTCAAAGCTCAACTAACTAAAGTTTTTTGTGTCTGATGTGAAACAATATTGACAAAAAGTGTAATCAGGGCTATCTCTCTGTAAGAACCAATTCTGGAAAACTCACAAGGCCTCTAGAGCTTTTTTTCAGTTTACTGTGCTTTCAACAGCAATGTATTAGTCCAGATCCACACTCTACAATGTGGGTGGACTCAGATTACAAACTGATTAAAGAAATTTTCCATTATTAATTTTTTTTACTCTATATGGTATCAAAAGACAGCTTTTATTTGAAATTAAGCACCAAACTGTCAAAGGTTCAAAATATATTACTTAATATCCTAATGTGGTATTCTTCAATGCAACACAACATGAAAAAAAAAACCAGAATCCTGAACTTACTTGCAATCATGATGGTCTTTGAATTGCCGCCCAGACTATCCTTCAGAAGCCAAGTGAGAACAGAGTCACGGTAGGGAATATAAGCTTGACGCCTATGGCTGTTGCTATGGGCTCCACAGTGATTATCTGTATGGTTGCTGTCCACTTCACTGGCTATGCTATTTATACTCTGGCAGCTGCTGAACATCTGAGAGTTTTGTGCTAAGAAGGGAGCAAGAATAAGTTTCCGATGTATACAATAAATGTACATTGCTCACTAGTTCCAGGAGATACACAGACCTTGGCTGTAGGTAGAACCTCTGTCACTAGATGGTTAATTGACAAGTAAAAACACAGTTTATGAACTAATGCATGATTACCATGTCACCATTTAATTGTGAACCATGATGACAGAACATTACTACATGCAGCCATGCTGACTTGTACAAAACCATCTGTATTATTCCTCTGACTACAGCTTATCTTATCAGTTATCCTCTGCTATGCATGTTGGCCTGCAGAAAACGGAAGGTCATCACTCAGCTCTTGTTCTCCCTTCACCCTTTTTTTCCTGTTCAAGTGGGGGGTTGGATATTGTTTTCCATTTGATCCTGTTAGCTCAGTGTACATTCCAGTAAGAGGAGAGGCAAATCCATAAAAACCCCTGTTAATGTCCTAGCCTTCAGTCTTCTGCCTGAAGAAAGAAGCCAACGGGTGTCCAGGATTCTTTATGACCCTCTGCAATCTGTTACTCTTGGGAGACTACAATACCCAGAAGGTGCACACTTGTTTTTTTACCACACGTCTGTCATGTTGTTGTTTAATTGTTTAGTCGTGTCCGACTCTTCGTGACCCCATGGGACCAGAGCATGCCAGGACCTCTTGTCTTCCACTGCCTCCCGGAGTTGGGTCAAATTCATGTTGGTTGCTTCGATGACACTGTCCAACTAACTCGTCCTCTGTCGTCCCCTTCTCCTCTTGCCTTCACACTTTCCTAACATCAGGGTCTCATATTGCTCTATAATTGGTAAATTGATTTTGAAAGTGGATTTTTCCCTTGATTTTGGAACTTTTTTTAAACAGACCCCAAAACCAAGACATTGGGATACTGCATTTGTTCAAAACCAAAATCCTAGTATTTGTCACTGAGTGAAAGTCATCTTTCTACCAGCTAGTGCCACCACTGCACACATGTAACTGAGTGGAATGCCAGCTGTGTCAGTAACACTAGGAATGTGACTGTAAAAAAAAATAGAGCCTGTTCCTCACCCACCTCATCTTTCTTCAGTGTTTAAACATTCTTTGACAGACAATTGTCTCCCCATGTTTTATAGTTCCTATGTAAAAACACCTATCTGGCAATATTTTAGTTGATTTGAGGCAATTCCCTGTTCTTCGAATTAGCCACTGCTGTTTGGTGTCAACAGGCAACTTGATGTCAGCTACTTTCACTAGCTTTGTGCTCTTTTTTTCCCCTGCACAAAAGTATGTTGCCCTACAGTTTTCCCTTATTTAAAAAAGTCAGTAAGTAGTCAAGAGGAGATGACCATAAGTCAGAGGCAAGTTGAAGCATGTAAGTAATTAAATAAACAAATATTTATTTATTTTATTTGTTCGATTTATTTTGCGAATCTGGAAGAGTCCTAGCGCTTTCCCAGCATCAAAGGGAATTTCTCATCCTACACACGATGATCTCACTACTTACACTTCTCGTTTTCAAATGTACATTACATCAATATTCTCATACATCATGTATCACTGGTTGTCCTCTGCTATGCATCAGTTGCTTCCCTTTAAAATAACTGAAATATAATCTTTTATGTATGTGCCATCATCAATTTACTTCACAAAGTTTGAACATAAAAAAGCACTATGATTGACACCTGGTATGTTTTACAGTAAAACTGAAGACAGTATATCCAGCTACATTATTTCATACCTAAGGTAGAGATGACAATTCCAAGTGTAACAAGTGATTTATTAATATTGGCACCTTCTGTGATCCGATCTTTACAGTAACTGGGATCAGCTCTTTCACTGAAAGAAACAAAGAGAGAGAGGCAGAAATGCAACTTGAAGGGAAGTAACATTTAAAAGCCATCAGTATAAAAATAAAACAGAAACAGAAAAAACTAGCTAGCTCTCAAAACATTCAAATTCTAGCCAGACTACACCACTTCCAAAATCCAGTTATATGGCTAAAATAAGGAACTTCTAATCTTTTGGGTCCAGTTTGTTTGTTTCCTCTCTTCTAATCTCACCGATAAGGTCTATCTGGGTATCAGAGAATTAAATACTGTAGTTCAAATTTCCTGACACTACCACATTGGTAAAGCAAATCCAATGTTGAGAATTTTTAAAATATATTGTCCAGAATCCTACTAGTTAGTTATGCTGGTGTAAGCGCAATAGTATAAATTGCCGCAGTAAACTGTCACAAGTCACTGCTTGTACCCTTTACCGCATGGCATTTGCTAGGGTTGGTGCACAAGCAGCAACTTGCCTACTAGTGATAATTTCCTGCTGCTATTTACGGCACTGCATGTAAGCCAACATAGCTAACCAACAGGTTCCTGGCCATTAAAAAAATCAATTTTGGGGATTAATTAATGAATTGATTGTTAGTAAGCAAACAATATGTGTCTCTCTGTCTATCGATCTCTGATATTTATACCACCCCAATAGTGCACAGCATTAGTCTGACACAGACACACCAAAATCCTGTTACACATTTATGCTGGTGTAGCACAATCAGTATAAAGCTCAGTGCCAAACTGCCACACGTTGAGTAGTCAGCATATAAGCATTTGCTCTAGCAGCAGTTTGCTGCTGAGATTTACCCCAATTATACTACACTGGCAAGTGTAATTAATCAGATTTTGGCTGTTATGCACTGACATTTTTAAAAATTATAACTTTTGTTTATTAGCTTCTAATTAATTAGGAAATGGAATTATTTTTTGATTTTTTAAAAAAAGCAGTAATAAACTAAAAAGAAAATTTTGATTACTATTTACCATGTGTATTATTTATTATTAACATTCAAAATTAAACATACAAATTAGTGTCTTTTCTGTTAGGATTCTGGTACTAGGGCTGTTGGCCAATCTGAAAAAGAGCCCCTAGTCCTCTGGAAATTGCCCATCTCAGTATAAACGGGCTCTTCTGTCAAAGCTTCCTTGAAAGACAAGTTATATGCAGCTATTGAATGTCCTTTCCATTATATCTGCAATGGAGATGATTATTTTCTGAAGGTAATATGTAAGTTCGGTGCCCCTGCCTTGTCTGAATGTATGCCTTCAAACATGGTGCAGAACTGAGTGCAACATCAGCCGAGAAAACAAGTTACAGTGGAAACCGTTTCTTAGACACAATTTAAGAGTTTAGAAACAACTGGTTTATAGGGTACTGTTACAAGAAACAAAGTATTACCTGCCTGCAAGGTCCACTAAGTTGATCTTGCTTGCAATTTCAGAGGGCAAATTGTCCTCTAGTATAGCCTGAAGGAGAATAAATTCAGGTATCATAATAATTCAAATAAAACTAAGTTATTCATACAAGTCTATCATTTATTGGGGGGGGGTTCAGGATCTCCTAAGCGGTTTACAAAACAGCATGGACTTTACATGGACACTGAACCCTGACAGGTGCTATGGAGCATATTCGAATGGGCAGAAAAGCAACGATCCCCATTAGATACATCTATGGTCTTTGAGAACAGCAAAATTGTCACTTTTCTCGCAGCCCACAGAGTATAAAGGAAGGGAGGGGAAGAAATGGGGGAGATTATGGAAGCGAAAAAGTGAGAAAGGAAGGGAGAAACGAAGGCAGAGACAGAGAGAAAGAGAGAGAGAAAGGGAAGCTGACTGTCCCACTGTATCATAAAATCCCAGTGAAATAAAGTAGTCTTATGAGTGGACAAGTAGTTTCATAGCTCAAATTAAAGCCAATAAACATCCTTATTATGGGTTTCCAAAATGCTTGAATGGAAAATGGGACTCACTTGAGTATACTGGATAGTGAAGATAGCATGGGATCTGCTGCTGGCCTCATGAATGTGGGTAGCTGCTGTAATTCTACATAAAGTAAAAATTAGAGTGAATATTTAATTTCACATGAGGCAAGATTAACATGGAAAAATACAGAACAGAACAAAATAACCCCCCACCAAAGGATTGCGTTATCAGACCATAGTCCAAAGATTGGGGTCAGGGTCACTGCTATTGCACTCCATGAAAATCTCTAGATCTACTTTTCCATCCAGAGATGAAAGCACACATGAACAATCATATGCTGCAGCCCAATGGTAGAAAAAGAATGCAATAATTAATATGCTTAATAAGTATAATAGTAAACCCCTATTAAATTGTTAGCATTCTAATCATTTATTTATTTATTTATTTATTTGATTTTTACCCCGCCCCTCTAGACCATGTCTACTCGGGGCGGCTATGTCATATGATCACATGAACAAAACATGTTCATATATATATATATGGGTTCTGCAACATTCATTTTGTTTTGTTCATGTGATCATATGACAGGCATTACAATGCCTAGTTAAAAAATGAGTATACGCTATCTAGAGAATGATTAGAATGCTAACAACCTTGCAAGGATGTAGATCTTTCTTGAAAAAGATGAAATATAGCGGGCCTGGAAGAATCAATACAAACAAGGAACTAACATAGATTTTTTTTGGGAGGTGTTGGAGAAAGACTGAGGCAAGATACCTATTTGCTATTCCTTCTTCTAGAAGTCCAACTACTTGTTTGTAGTCTGTAACAACATGCTGAGATAGTCCTAGAGATTTTAAAGCAAAGGGGAAAAGTTAACAACATTGTTGTTGGAAAACATTACTGCATGCACACCTGTGGAGGGAAAGAGGGTGTCGGCAATTTTCCATTATTGTCACATCTCTTTCTGCAGCATCGAATCACAGGGCTCCCTGTTTTTCAGGAGCAGCTTTTCAGTGGCCTGGAAAGACTGCAGTTGGAAAAGAGGATAGAAAAGCTGGAAGGAATCCTTGTTTCATGTTCACCTCTTTGCATCCTGACCTACGTTGTTTGTTCTGCACAATAAACAGCACAATATCTGATGTGACAATAATGTAAAACATTACTCTTTCTGAGACACATGGTTATCACTTCTTCTTTGAGCAGGGATACATGAATCAATAAAAACTAGTACAAGAGAAAGAGAGAGAGAACTCTTAAGCAGACAAACATTTTATGAGCTTGAAAACACTTGTAAGAATAATGGATGCTGCCTTGCAGAATTGAGGTAACTACTTTGCCTCTGCAGCCCCACCAGAGAGCAGCATAATGCAGAGATGCAATTTCTTCAATCACAATTAATGTAAAATGCTTAGCAATTAAATACTGCACTGATAACTGACTGACTCACTGACTATGTTTTCTGTATCTAATGTCCATAAGTCAGTTGCTACTAAAGGCCATTGTGGAGGTTGCAGCAGAAACAATGAATGTAGAAATACAAGTCATTTGAGCTTTTTTAGAATTCAGGGAGTGCACACAGAGTGAGATCTTTGGGCGCCAGTGGTTATCAGGAATGCAAAGAGATCAATGCAAATATAGCAGTAAAATTTTCAGGAATATACTAACCGTGGTGACCTGCTCATTCTTTTCTCTTCTTCTACACAACCTTGAAGGACTACAAAGTCATTCACACTTCCATTCACTACCAGCTGACTACTTTAAATTTATTAGAGAAAAAGATTAAGCATTTGTGGTTTTTCAAATTAGAAAACAAATGACATCACTGAAACATTAGAGCAATTATGAGTAACATGGGTAACAGAAAGCATTGTTAACTCATGGAATACACGGGCATAGGAAATGACGATAGTCGCTATACTGCCGTTGTTATGTGGCGTCAAGTTGCCTCCCACTGTAAGTAAGCAATCATCAAACTGTCCCTTCCTCAACAGCCCTGCTCAGCTGCTGCAAACTCAGACTTGTGGCTTCCTTTACGGAGTCAAGCCATATAGTATTCTTCCTCTTTTCCTGCTGCTTTCCCTCTTTCCCAATTTTATTGTTTTTTTCAGACAATTTTGCTTTTTCATGATATAGGACAGGCTCAGGTTCAACTTTTTTGCCTCCATATATACTTCAGGCTGGATTTGATCTAGGACCCACTTGTTTGTCTTTCTGCCATTCCAGGGTATCTGCAAAGCTCTCCTCCAGCACCACATTTCAAATGAATCAATTATTTCCTGTCAGCTCTCTTTATTGTTCAGCTCTCACAACCATACATGGTGATCAGAAAAATGAGAGTCTGGATGATCTGGGTCTTGGTCTCCAGTGATACATCCTTATACTTTATCTTTTCTAGTTCTTTCACCGCCGCTCTTCCACGTCTCAGTCTTCTAATTTCTTGACTGCACTCTCCTTTTGGACTGATGATCAAAAATTTCTAACTATTTCAAAATCTCTACGTACAAAATCTTGAACTATTTCAATTTCTTCACTGTCAGCATTCAAGTTGTGTAGTACTTTTGTAGTCATGATTTTTGTTGTCTTAATGTTCAACTACAGTCCTGCTTTAGCACTGTCTTCTTTCAATTTTATCAGAAGTTGTTTCATATCATTGCTGCTTTCTACCAGTAAGACATTGTCATCTGCATATCTTAAATTTTTAATGTTTCTCCCATCAATCTTTATTTCTCCTTCATCTGAATCTAGTCTGGCATTCCATAGATGTTCTGCATATAAACTCAATAGATAACGGGATAAAATGTATCTTTGCCTGACATCTTTGCCTACAGGAACACATTCTGTCTCTCCATATTCTGTTCTAATGGTAGCTTCTTGTCCACCATACAAGTTTCACATCAGGACAATCAAGTGCTGAGGCACAGCTATTTCATCAGAACAAGCCATCATTTCTCATGATCTGCACACAGTCAAAGGCTTTACAGATCTGAAATTCTTTAGTGTGCTCCAATAACAAGCAGAAATTTGTCATATGACCTCCAGTTCCTCTTTCTTTTTGAAATCCAGCTTGTGACCTTGGGCTAGCTGCACAGCCCCAGGGTGCCCCTAAGAAGAAGGGAATAGTACAACACTTCTGGGTAGTCTCTACCGATAAAACCCTGAAATAAAGGTCCTCATAAGTTAGAATTGACTTGACAGCACACAATTATTTTTACTCACTATATTAAATGTTCTGAAAAATTAATTAAAGAAATGGCTATTGTTTAGATCTACAGCTAAAGAGAACCTTTGTCTAGTGGCAATGGGCGTCCAATCACCAAGCTGCCAGGGGACAATTTTGTTGTTTCAGATAAGAATATCTATGTTTAACAATCACAGAGGGATCTCAAGAATCTTTTGGAGCTAAATATGTCTTGAATTGCCTCATTTCCTGACTTTTAAAAGAAGTTGGTTTCTTAACAGCTGAACCATGTGTACAAGAATTCTGAAACTATTTCAATAAGAAGCACTGAAAGGGTTTCAAGGTCTTTAAATGACCCTCAGAAAAAAAATTGTGATATAGTTTGAAAACTATCTGAAGAGTTTAGCGCTGTTTTTGGTTTGTTTCATTGTTTAAAAGAAAACATTAGGTTTATAACTGGAAAATTCAGTGCTTCTGAAATAAGAATAGACCAAATGAAAACACTTCTTGGACGATGTGTTTAATTATGAAAATCCATTCCATAATTGCACATGTCTCCTTATGCTTCCCTAATTTCTATTAAAACAAAATGTTACAGTTCTCTTAAAGTTCTGCACTTCCTCACCCTTACATGTAGCTCTAATGAAGTGGAGCAGGGTATGGGAATCAGCAACCTGATGGTATCATATCAAATGTTTTTCTTACAAGTGTCCTCAACTATTGTGTGTATGTCTGCTTTTTTTTGTTAGTCATAAAAAACTGGTAGACTTCTAAGATGTGTTTCAAAAATCAAACTATTTTTATATCATCAAATTTTACTCTGGAGAACTGTCGATCAAATGTAATTCACAATTCAGTTTTATTAGTTCTGCCCCTCCCCAAAAGGGGGACAGACTGTCCTGATTTTAAAAAACCAAGCATTGTAAAGCCTTGTGATGTATCTTGAATATAGAGAATGCCTGCAATCTGTGATTTGATGCAAGTCAATCCACTTCAAGAACTGGGGTAGCTCCAAAGGTACTTTTTTGTGTACACAAATAGGTCACCTCTTCAGGATCACTACAGGCAAGGGAACTTGATACATACTACAGAGTTCCCACAAGTTTTCAATTTGAGCGAGCTGACTGGTTAAACCACAAAGCCATGTTAACTCTTAGGTCTCTGCATGTATAATCCACTATTCCATGCTGTAAAGCTAATTAAATTCAGCAAGCTCACATGAGGGTAAAACTACATGTTACTAAGCTGAACTTTTGTTAAAACCCATGTAGGCATGGTGTTTCTTTTTTAAAAAATGTACTACACTGCATGAAGCTGAACTAGAAAATACAGTATATCCAGAAATATACATTCTTCATCTAACTACAAAAGTAAATAAACAACTGACGAAAATATGAAATATTTGATAAGTACTTCTACTTTTCAAAGCTTTTAAAGTCTACATTGCATGAATAGTTGCAAACTACCATCTGACTAGTAACTCAACCAAATATAATCGCCAGTATAAAATCAATTCGATTTGTGTTGTCTCACAACGCTTATGTCTGTCACATGACATTGTTAAACAAAGACTGTATTTCATTTTTTTCAGGCATCCAGCCAAGCTGTTCTAGAAATCTGAACTGGAGCATTTCATCATTAGCAGCAGAAGAGCATCAGAGCTTTGCGGGAACCTAAGGGTCTACCAAAAGACAAAGACGTTAAGCAACAGCAGCCTTATATGGAGTGCCCAAGCAGTATTCCCCCAGACTTGGACAGGTGCCATCTTCCTCCAGTGTCCCTGTTATGCTGCTGTTCATATCCTTTTTGGGAAGAGGGGAACAAGAGACCACCCTCTCTGATCATTAATGCCACCAGGAAACACTATTAACAGGCACCACAACTCTTGAGAATTTATTATAATAAATGTAATAAAGTAATGTTTATTATTACTTGTCTCATTTGCCAAAAGCAAGCCTATGTACTCATTTCCAGCATAAAACCAAATGCAGTTATCATGGAATATAACAATTTGTTTCTTCTAACAGAACTGTATTAAATCCACTTGGTATTTATGATAAAAATCCTGGACAGCCAGAAGAAATTTATTAGTTCAGCAGACTGTCCATCTACTACCCTCACATTCAAGACTAGGGTTTAATTCAAAATAATAAGTAAAAGCATTACTCCTGTTTTTAGAAAGGTCAGAATGCTCATAATAATGCTCTCTAGCTCTATTACAATCTTGGAAGAACTATCATGATGTTCCATTGAATGTGTAATATCATTAATGGTGATAAATTTTCCACAACTTGTAAACTTTTATTCCATTTATTGTTGAAAATAGTATCACATAAAAGTGTAGGTAGCACAGACTAAGAAGGGCTATATAGGTACTACAGCCTATGAAGAAGGCAACACGTAGAATTCTGTTAAGTCAACAATTTGTTTATTGCAAATACATGATTCAGGTACTGAATTGTACTCACATATGTTGCCCAATAACCAAAACAGAAATTAAAGAAGACTACGTAATTGGAAGCAGAAGATGGAGACAATCTATTCTCCCCACAAACAAGCTCAGGAGTTTATAGTAGATGGATTATTGGTTTTAAAAATTGGGGTAAACCAGAAGAAGACCATTAAAACAGGCATAGTGCCAAAATATTTATGCTTCTGCTAGTAATAAATTTCCCTTCCACTTGTGTAACTAGACATCAGGATTTGCATTAGAGAGAGTTCTAAACCAAGATTAGGGATGCTAAATGATTAACATCATCTGATCAGGATAAAAGGAAGAAAACATGGACATAATATACCAAAGAACCATACAGAAGAAACTGTAGAATGACAAATTCCTTCAAAGAGGAACCATTTCATGAAGAATCTGCAACTTTAAAAAGTTAAGTGAAAGCTACATTCAAAGCACTTGGAAGAAATAAATGACAAGGCATAGATGGGGCACCAAAAGATATGACAATCTGATATCATCAGCCAAATGTAATGTTATGTTGCTAGCTTTCAGTCAATAGATCTATTAAATCAAATTTCACTCAGTTAAATTTCACTCTAGCAGTATGCCAAATGGCCATGGCATCAGAATTAATCTAAACCTGGCTCATATTTCTGTCCAGAAGGTTTGACAACTTGGAATCTAAACTGAACATGACTCTCTCAAGCCCAAATGTTTCCAAGTGCTCTAAATTCCAGCAATCAGGAAAGGAACTCCCACTGTGTTCCCCATCCTGCCCCTATGTAAACTAATAGCATAAAGCAACTCTATTCATTCGAGTTGAGTTGCAGGAAAGAACTCTTTTGAGGGGAAAAACCAGAACTGGACAATCATGATTCCTGCTGCTGAACAGTGGAGAGTACACTTCTCCTATGCAAGTCATTTTGCTCCTGTTGTAGTCTTTCCCCCTTCTCCAAGGTGGATTAACAGAGCTATTTCAATTAATTAATTTGTATTGAGATAGGGTGCACTGTGACGGTCAAAAAAGAGTGTGGACGGTTGTATCACATCCTGATTTTATTCCTGTGGTGCTTGCAGTTTTTAAATGTCCCTTCAGGATCTAACTTCTGGGATAGGGAAGATGGGTACCTAAAGTCTAAGCCCATGACTCATCCTAGTGTCTCTGCATATTTTTCCTCTTCTATAGGGATAAATAGTTCTACTAGTTCCTGTTACAGTAAGAAACAACTACAGTGGTGCCTCGACTTACAAACATCCCGACTTACGAACATTTTGAATTACGAACAGCTCCGTTAGCAAAATTTTGCTTCGACTTGCGAGTAGAGCTTCAAGTTACGAGCAAAAAAACCCAAAACCCGCAGGGAAGGCGGGGAAAGCGTGAAATTTGAACTTGGCCAGTGAAGAGGCTGCTTGTGTGCTACCTCACTCGTCCCAGTGGTTAGAGAGTGGATATGGAGAGACTTCAGACTGCCTGGTATTGCCTGATACTGTACTGTACATACTGTATTTTTTGGCTTTTTTAAATGTTTGATTTTTTTGGATTTTTGACATTCTTTTTTAAAACAGAGAGACTGCCTGTTCTGGGTGAGTGCACTATATTTACTGTACAGGGTTTTTTTGCAGCTGGGGGGTAGGGTTAGGTGGGGGTTCTGTTTCTGTGCTCTGATGGGTCTTGCAGTGTGGATATAAAATGTGAAAAGTAGACGGTAATATTAAATTAAAATTAAATGTGAAAAATAGACTGTACAGTAATTTTAAAATGTAAACTTTATTTATTTTTGCATTCTGTGGCTTCTAGGGTTTCTGCACTCTTCTGTTTTAAAATGTGTGGGTTTAAAATGTGGCTTCAGAGTCATTTTTTCTTAAAATCAGAAAATATTCTGTGAGGGGTTGTGCTGGCTGTTGATGCAGGCAGGCTGTAAAATGCAGTTTAGACTCAAGTCTCTCTCCCCCACCCCCCATTGTCTTCTCTCTCTGTATTCTCTCTTTTTGTACTTAAAAGCACAAACCTTTGTCTGAGGGGGTCTGTGTGCCCCAGTGATGACCTTCTTTCTTTCTTCCCTCTTTTCCCCATTGTTCCCTCCCTCCTTTCCTGCCCTTCTTTTAACCTAAGTTCATTTTATGTTTTTTTAAAAAATTCTCCCCCTAGTGGTACAGCAGCGTTCCCCAACCTTTTTAGTAGTGCAGACTGGCGGAGCCTCTAAGGAAGATGGTTGGGGAGTGTCCACGTGTGTGTTCCTCCACCACTTCGCCCATGCGCAGGAGTGCCTGCCCATCTGCACGCCCATCCCATCCCTGCATGTGGGTGCATGCTTGAAGGGGTGAGGGAGTGTGTGCCAGCGGCGGCAGCAGCCTGGGAGTCTTTTTTAAAAAATTTACTAAACATTTTTATTTTACTCTTCGCTGCCCTCCGTGAGAAATTCAAATGCAGCCGCTGGTGCCGGTTCTGGAGCTGGAGGCACCAGCAGCGGCATAGGCCTACTAAAGGCGGTGAGGAGCACCGACCCTGGCCTCGTTGGAGCTCACCCGGAGGCCAGTAGCCAGAGCACCCGGCCATGCTGTGCCTCCCGGCACTTGCCCACTCCCACCCCACCACCGCCGGGAGGCCAGCAGCCGGAGCACCTGGCCATGCTCTGCCTCCCGGCTCTTGCCTACCCCCACCTATGGGAACAAATGCTGTGACTTAAGAACAGCGCCTCGACATAAGAACAAAAAACAGCCGGAACTGATTAATCGGCTTTCAATGCATTCCTATGGGAAATGCTGATTTGACTTACAAATGTTTTGAGTTAAGAACACCATTCCAATACGGATTAAGTTCATAAATCAAGGCACCACTGTACTTTGCAGATGAAAAATAAAATCTAGCTGTACCAACGTTGGCTTTTACCCTTCCAAATACTGTCACATTTGGTGTGTTCCCTCCCTTCCTACAAGAACAAATAGAGAGAGGGGTACTTTGAGAATCAGGGAGAAGGTTCTAGGGTGGAATTCTAGTCTGGTTCAAAACGATTAATTAAGCACTTCCAATCTGGTGATGGGAGGAGAGGAACAATTTTTGAGTTAATCTGGAGGAAGCCTTTTGAAGCTCAACCATTTCTAGTTGTTACATTTCCCACTCTCATACCTGTTCAATCATAATAAAAATCACATCATCATCCTGGGATTCCATTTTAAGTATCATATTTTCTCCCTGATGGGAGGAGAGAAAGTCTGAATGTGCACATAATATCAATCTAGAGTCTTAGTATAAATTACTAACCTTGCACATAGGGACCAATCACAGGATGTTCACGGACACGAAGTGTATATGGCTTCTTATGGTCTGACTGCCTTAACAAATCACGGACCCGCTCATTATAAATTTCGAGGAAACTGAAAAGAAGTAATGATACAATAATTCTGGGACAGTCAGGATGCACTTCCCATCAAGCAGATGCACTACAGAGTGAGGGAACAACATTGCACCATCCTGTCTGACCATCAGGTGGATTTTATGCATGCAGCACAATACCTGCCTCCTCAGGAGGTATAATTGATAGAACTTCATGACAACAGAAAGACAGATCTACCTGACTTCCACTCTGCAAGATGCCGACTGTTTTGAATAGTCGTCTTCCCTTGAAAACAGACCCTATAGAAATCAAACATTATTTTTATTTGCTTGCTTGCATTCTGGAGGGAGAAAAGCCCTAAGGAAATGTAAGCAAGATAAATTATAAGTATTTGGTTTTATAACATACCTCACATATTCGAGGTGTTAATCCAATTGATGTCTAGAAAAGTAAAAGAAAGATTATTAAGACTGACTACAGTTTGAGCTTGGAAGTTACTAGTATGCACATAACATGCTACATCTGCAAAGAGAACAGAAAAATACCAGAGCAATAGATATGGAGACAAAATTGCTTTAGGTAACTGGTAGTAACAACTATGCAACCAGCTACTTCAGTTTAAGCAGTGTCAGTTTTCCTCTTGCTATGAAGGGAAGGAGAGGTAGGAAGGTGTATGACAGCAAAGGACTGGTATCCATCTTGAGAACAAAAAGCAGTAAAAGAATGGGGAGAAACTAGATAAGGATGGATTATGAAAAGAGTCCTTCTCTAGCAACAAGAACTCTAGGTGACATTCAATAATCAAACTGAAATCACATTAACAAGGATTCTGTGACATTTACTTTTCTATTTATATGCTCATTTCTAATATATGTATAATTGTGTAAGCAATCAAAACGGTAACATGAAATATGCATTGTTTTAAATCTGTCTCATTACACATAAAGGAAATCTAAAGAAAACAAATATGAAGTACAATATAACTCACTGGTGTTCCCATCATAGTGTATGTTTTTCCTGAACCTGTCTGTCCATATGCAAAAAGGCAAATATTGTATCCTTTAAAAGCACCAGATAGTACTGAAGTACCAAGGTCCTGGAAAACCTGTAATGAAAAAAGAAAGACAAAAAAATTATATTTACTAATTAAGTCTATCTCCAAGAATTTCTGGCTTGTGAAAATGGATCTACTTTTCACAATGCTTTTGAGTTCTACCATAAACAGGGTATTTCTCAAAACTGGGGTGATATGGGAAGGTATAACAATTTTATTATATTGATGATGATTCTCAAAGTGAATGCCATGCTCCAACTATTGCTGAAAAGATTATTTGAGGTTTTAAGTCTGCAATGACTACTTCATTCTGGACTGATTACAAATAAAGAATGTGTAACCAGCTTGGGGATGAACTGTTCTGGTACAGAAAGACTGAAGCTATCGAAAAATCTTTTGGAGCAGCTTATAAGAAAAGAAATGAAAAACCAAGGAAAAACATAATTCAACATATGGAAGATATGAATGAATATATAGATTAAGATTTCTAAACCAGGGTACATTAACAGGCTTTGTATATTTAAAGGCAGAATATAATTACATGAAAAATAATAGTTCACAAAAGAAAAATACAATTTTATCTAATGGGTCTGTATTACAATGCATCATAGAAATGGACTCCTCAGTCTTTTGGCTAAGATCAGGGGTAGTATCACATAAAATTACATGGCACACAATATCAAATTACACCCTAAGAAGGGATATCAGAGGGAAAAGATTTAAACCAAGACAACCTCTATACTTCCTAATAACAACCTGTCAGTGAATGAAAAACTCCTGCATTACCATTTCACTGTATTTTTAAAAAAAGTAACACATTAGCTAGTGAATAATGTGAACTTTAGTTCAGAGAACTGATTAATTCACATTAGAAGAACCACTCACTACACTTACCTTCCAAAGAATAAAATCTGGCCTTATTTACGCTTTGGCTCAGGCACTTGGCAGTTCTGCATTGGCTTATACAGTGATCAGGCACAGCTCTACACTGCCATGATAGAGCAGGTGCAGCAAAATACTAGGTTTTCACCAGGATGCTGCACCTGCTACATTTGCGGTGTTTCTCATTTTTGTCAGACCGGTAGGAGTGTGCAACCAGAAAGCATGCATATAGCATACAGCCTGGAGGCATTCTAGCCCGCTCTTTTTGTGAAAGTAAAAATGGAGTTTCAAGAGGAACACTGGTTAATAGTGTTGCTCTGCAATTTCACTGCGTAACAATAAAGTCCATCACCTCTAAAACTTCCATTTCCTGTCTCAGAAAATCTAGTCAGGATAACAAAGGAAAACAAAACAAAACAAAACACAGAACGTGTTGCAGAAGTCCCTAAAACTGACTTCCATGCAGAGGGATAGGCAGGTAGTCATTGTGGAGACAAGATTCCATTTGACCGTCTCTCTCACATAAAGTGAAAGCGGAATAGACTGGAGAAAGAAATCTGCATATCAAATGTGTTGTAACTTTGGAATGGAAAAGATGTCATAGATAGCCCATGATTAGAGCATGTTAGTATTGGAGAGATGTGCCTCAAGCACATTTGGGTCTAAGAAAACAGACTTCAAAAGAATCTTGTGCTTAAGTCCCAAGGATCAATCACAAAATAGAGCAAGCTAATTTTCAATTAATATGAGGTGAGAAAAGCTCCTGCTGCACACTCTGATACTTTAAGCAGTTACGAAATTACTCTTTAATGATAGGTAACCTGAAGAGTCCCTGTCTACAGATTTATTAGCCGTATTTACCAACTTTAAATGAATATTAAATTCCAAGTTATATTGGGAGAATTTGTGTTGACTTGAGGATGCCCCAAATCAAAGTGAGTAGCCCTGACTTGGTTTCACTGCAGACTGGGACCAACCTGCATCAGACTATCCATTCTCAACTTTTTTTTTTTTTTTTTTCTATGGTCCCCCTAGGACAGTGATGGCATACATTCAATTTACACCTTTTTTTTTTTTTTTTTTTTTTGGCCATGGACATAAACAGAATGCGAAATAAACACAGGCCGAACCAGTTGCATAACAAACCTCATAAGGTGATGTGTGAAGAATTGTTTCTGGTCTGTGGCCCCCTTCAAATATGCCAGGAGGCCATACACCCCCTCATTGAGAATGGCTGGAGTAGAAGAATTCAGTGCTTTAAGGATATAAACTAATCTTTTCAAAATAAAAATATGTGCTAGAAAGTAGAAATAGGGAAACTGACAATAACAATATTCTAAGGAAGATATTGAGGAGTCACCACATAATTAAAATAGAAAAGGAGACTGGAAACTTGAGCCCTGTCAAGACCAAGGATATCTCCTACACTCTTCTATCACAGGATCTTGTGGGTCTCTGACCTCTGACTGAGGTCACTTTGGATTTATATTTTATTCCACACTGTATTTCACCACATTTGGCTTAACCACTGCGTAAGCAAATGCTACAGATTTGGACCTCGATACTTAGCGGAACGCTTACTCCCACCTAGCTCTACCCGTGTCACTCGTGCGAGTCAGGAGGTGAGGCTGAGGAGCCTGATGCCGAGGGAGGCCCAGAAGGAAAAAACAAGGAACCGGGCCTTCTCGGCGGTGGCTCCTCGCCTTTGGAACAATCTGCCTCTGGAGATTCATGCTGCACCTTCGCTGGGTACTTTTAAAAATCAATTAAAAATGTGGATGTATAGGCAGGCCTCCCCCCCAAGTTAATTCCTGACCCTCTTCCCTTCTCTATCTATTTGATTTATTTTGTATTTTTCCCAGCTTGCAGAATTATTTAATTGTTATAATTTTTCTTGTATTTGTTATGTTTTTATGTTGTAAGCCGCCTAGAGTGGTCAAAATGACCAGATAGGTGGGGTATAAATAGAATGAATGAATGAATGAATGAATGAATAAAAATAAAATACCAGTTTTCCCCAGTCCTCTACAGCCTAAAACTCTCTTTTCCCTTCAGCCAAACACTCTTGCTCAAGGGGAATCAGGTTTTTGCACAAAAACAAACATACCTTGTTCACAAACCCACCACTACAGTACTAATGTGGTTATTTATGATTATTCCAAAAGTACAAATCCAGATTAGCAAAAATGTTGAAAAAAATACGTCCTGCATGTCTTGAAAGATATGACTGCAAGGTTGTTTGCGACTTAGGACACTGGCTATTAAATAGTTTCCATAGTAAGAGGGAAAAGTGCAGGACACAGTATGTTGCTGCACTTTGACCTCCTCCTTTCTAATAGCTGAATAACCAGCACCTCTTCTTCCTTTTTATACCTAAATTTCAACAGAAAAGATACACATTCCTATGCCGGGCAGCAAGTAGCTACAGATTAAAAATGAGAGGAAGAAATTAAAAAAGTAAAAACAATAACATTTTTAAAGTGGCAAACCTGACACAGATCTGAAAATCTCAATATTTATGTATATTTATTTTTTTATTATTAGACTTAATACTCCACCCCTCTAGACAAGGGATGCAATCTAGCATAGTAAATCCTATCTTTGATATCTACCATGCTACTAAATTTCATGGCAAATTGCCCCAAAGTTACACCCATTTGTGTGCCCCCTGGAAGTGAAGCTGAATATCACAATGAGTTTGAATCCAGGAAGGGGGAAACCAGGCAATTCCAAGTCAGATCAGGTCCATTTCAGGGGAGCCAAAGCAGCACCTGAACCAAACTGGGAGATCCATGCACAGCTCTATTATTTATCTGTTTAATTTCCCTCCCACTAGTTGCCTGCTACTCACTACACTGTTGCTGCAACTACAGTGGTGCCTCACTTGACGAGGCTAATCCATTCCAGCAAAATCACTGTAGAACAAAATTGTCGTCAAGCGAAAGTAAAAATCCCATTGAAATGCACTGAAAACCGGTTCAATGCGTTCCAATGGACGAAATACCTCATCGTCCAGCAAAGACCCTTCATGGGGCGGCCATTTTCCAGTGCCTGTAAAGCAAGGAATCCGTCCTAAAACACAGCGGGGGGCCATTTTACACAGTGGGTGGCCATTTTGAAAGCCCGACGATCAGCTGTTTTGATCATCGTTAAGCAAAAAATCGGTTACCCAAAGCAGCGAACCGATCATTGTTAAGCAATTTTTCCCTATTAAAACATTGTTTTGCGATCGCAAAAGCGATCACAAAAACTTCATTGTTAAGCGATTTCCCCATCTAACGAGGTAATCGTCAAGTGGGGCACCACTGTATTTCCTATAAATACTAGATTTCATGGTCATAGCCATGGGTTATCAATAGCAAATCATGGACTGCAGTGGTGTTATTGTGCTGGCAGAATAAATCAACATTCTATAAGGCAATTCTAAAACTGGGGGCAGCCCAAACAAAAAACTGTGACTTTCAAATGGGACTTTGGATCAGCACCAATGCTGGCACAGATGTAGCAGACAGTCTGCTCTTGCTCTAGGCCAAATTTGAGGAAGTTTGGATGAATATTTTTCAATATTTTTAAAGTAAAACTGTTTCCCCATGCAGAAACAACCAACTTTAAATATCCCCAGATTTGAAACAAACCAAATACAGTGGTGCCTCGCTTAATGAGCGCACCATACAACGATGAAATCGCATAGCGATCCCTTTTTTGGGATCGCTAATGCGATCGCTTAACGTTTTTTTAATAGGGCAAAATTCGCTTTGCGAAGACCGGTAAGCGTTTCGCTAACCGATCTTCGCAAAACGAAGCCCGACGATCAGCTGTTAGGGGGCCAAAATGGCCGCCGGAAGCCCGGAAATGGCCCGAAATGGCCGCGCGCAGCGTTTTCGCGCCCTCGTTAAGCGAGGGGAGGGCGCGAAAATGGCTGCCGGCCATTAAGAAGCATCGCTGAACGGTGAGTATTCGGCCCATTTGGAATGCATTAAACCATGTTTAATGCGTTCCAATGGAATTCCCTGCCCCGTTCAACGATGCTTCAGCATAGCGAAGTTTAATCCGGAACGGATTAACCTTGCTATGCGAGTCACCACTGTAAATTGCTAATCTTGAAAGAGAATGATTGAATCTGCCCCCTTTTTTTATTTGGAAAGACTCCTGGCTACATGAAACAATTA